AAATTACTTCTGTGAAAATGAAATTGTTACAATACAAGATGGCAGACAGCATAAATTAGCGTAAAATTAAATTCGCAGAATAGATTTTTAGGCTAATTCGCAAAATTAGCCTAATCCTCAAAAAAAAGGCACTCTACTGTATTCATGTACTGTATCTATTTCAACACTTTATATGATCAATATATCTTATTAAAGACTTATTCTGATTCATGTACATGTACATACCTTCATTTGATAGAATCCTCTTATTGGTATCAAAGCTGGTGACTGTTGATAATGACACAATGTGAATGTCTCCAAAGGAGCCGAGAACCTAACACTCCTTGAATAATGAGGAGTGTCAGTGTGTCTATTAGTAGTATCAGCTAGTACTGGCTCAGCATCAGACGACTGTACACAAGAATGAACAGTTAAGTGATCGAGATGGGAGGAGTCAGGAGGCGTGGTCAAGTTTAATACTATGTCAGGGTGACCCTCAAGTTCTGCCTATTATATGAAATAAATGTTTATTATTTTGTGTATTTCAATTACTGTATAGTGGGAAATTTTGGAGAGAATTAAATTTGGCGCTTTGATAACCATTTAACAAAATAAAAGCTGCCATTTTGAGCTATTATATGCATGTTCAGTGGCACATGGCCACTAATTGGCCTAATTAAAATTAGCCAGTCTCCAAAATTTAGCAATTCACCTGCAAATTTAACTCTCTCAAAAATTTCCCACTATAGGGTGTGACAGTGTACATGCTGTTAAAAATGGCGAATTCATTGCACTAACTAAAAGTATCTCATTCTATCATAATATCCTTATAGTTTAATTAATAATTCTAATTAATAATAACTCGTTATGTACCTTGCATAATACTGATCCATACAATTGACATATGTCTTCAATGTCTTCCTTATCATACTATTGGTATGTAAATTAAAAGTCACAGCAACCCACTCACCTGGACAGCCCTAACTTCTTCTTTTATTCTAACATTAAGTTTTGAACTTCCTTTATACACAGCTGGTCTCCATGAAGGAATCTAATAAAGCAACAAAAATCGGGTTTCATCAAACACGGCTCAAAGCATTAAGTACAATAAAATTAAAGCAATCAAAGCACATAATAATAGTCTGATAGTAACTCTATACACCTTTAT